TAAACTATCTCCCCAGCCCCCACATATTCTTTTGAATTGCTGATTCACAATAAAGCAGGGTGAGCACAGATCAGAGCCAGGAACAGTTATAAAGTTGAGTGGTAAAAGAGTGTGTGTGTGTGTGTGTGTGTGTGTGTGTGTGTAGGTAGGTAGGTAGGTAGATGTTCAGTTTCTTGGGAAATGCTGAAGTTTTATTAACTGTCTTGAGTGTTCTTTTTCTTTTGGAAACTCAGGTCCTTTTGCTTGCCAGGCTGTCTTGAATGTTCTTGAAGGATAGAGGGTAAAGAAAGAGTTTTAGTTAAGGAAAGCTGACAACTTTGAGGAGGAACATTCCCCATCCAGGATCAGCTGTGCTGGGAGCTCAAAATTTCACTTCCTTGGCAGCCCAAGACATAAACTATGAGGAAAGAAATGGGTAAGGAAGGGTGAGTCAGCAGACAGCCTGGGGGAAGTGGTACAGTCATTTTGGAAAGTCCAGTCCTGGGTTCCATTTGGGCTGATTCTGTACAGGAAGGGGAGAGCTGCAGTGGTTCAGCTGGAAGGCCCCTGAGGAGGTCCCTGGATTCCAACCTTCCAACCCAGTGTTTTGGAGAGGTATACTCTTGTACAGATGTTTTCAAAAGTACCAGCTAATTCCTTACTGTGGTTCAGCTTCTAGGACAGGCCCTGGCACCTTCCATACCTGTGGCTATCTGGCCTTCTTCGAGCTGCCCTTCTCCCAGACAGGATCTTGCCATGCAGTTCAGGATGGCTTTGAGCTCATTTTGTCTTTTTTTTTTTGAGCTCATTTTGTCTTGAACTCACAATAATCCTCCTGCCTCAACCACCCAGAGTGCTAGGATTACAGGTTTAGGCCACCATGTTTGGCTTGCTTTTGGCCTCTCACCTTTTTGCAGTGCTGGACAGTGAACTCAAAGCCTCTTGCAAGCTAAACCTGCTTTACTGCTGCTCAATATCTCCAGTCTTTTTTATTTTTATATTTATTTATTTATTATTTATTTATTTCTGTGGCTGGCTCAGCCCAGACAGAGTTGGTGCAGTATGTGGTGCCAGGGACAAAACTGCAGGCCCTGGGTTTTGCCTAAGCTTGCTGAAGCAGGTGCTTTAGACCGCTGAACTATCTCATTGGCCCATTTTTTATTTTTTGACACAGGCTGAATTTGAACTCACAGCCCTCCTGGATCAGTCTCTTGGGGTGGTGCTGGGATTACAGACATGTGCCAACATGCTGTTTTCTACATGAAATGTCCTTTCTTTCATGATGGAATTCCCTTGATTCCATCCACCCTAGGTTTTTACCCTCTGCCCTTGACATGTGTACAAATCCACAGGGATCAGCTCTTTTGATCTTTTTCTTCCTGCATTCCCTCAGGTGACCTCATCCTCTTCCAATAATTACAATCCCCTTAGCTAGAGGTTTGCCTTTAAATAATGTCCCTCCCTCCCTCCCTCCCTCTCTCTTCCCCTTCTGGCTGGCCTTGAACTCAATATATAGTCCAGGCAGGCCTTGAATTTACAGCAGTCCTCTTGCCTTAGCCTCCCGTTAGGGGGATGTACCACCATCCAGTTCTTTTTTTCTTTTCTTCTCTCTCTTTTTTTTTTTTTTTTTGCAGAACTGGGGCTTGAACTCAGGCCCTTGCACTTGCCAGGCAAGCACTTATTCTACTGAGCTATCTCCCTGCCCCACCCCCATGCAGTTCTAAATATATTTTTTTCTTTTACCAGTTCTAAATACTGAGGCTTTTTTATTTATCACCTGTCCCAGGCAGCCCCATATGAATATATCATGTAAAACATTTTTTACATATATATTTTTAAAAATTTACTTTTGTGGACCGGGGATATAGCTCAGCCACATAAGCACCTGCCTGGCAAGTGCAACATCCTGAGTTTGATACCCAGTACTGAAAAAAAAAATCTTTTGTGTTTGCATGTGTGTGGTACTGAGGATTAAGCCTAGAGCCTTTTCACTGAGCTACATAGTACACTCCCAGTCCTTTTTTTTAAATACAGCGTCTCAGCTAGGGAGTTAGCTCAGGAGAATAAGCACTTGCCTGGAAAGCACAAGGTCCTGAATTCAATCCCTGGTACTGCGAAAAAGAAAAAAGAAAAACTTAAACGAACACTGGGGCCAGGGAGATGGCTCAGTGAATAGGCACTTCCCTGGCAAGTGCAAGGGCCTGAGTTCAATCCCCAGTTCTGTCAAAACAAATAAATAAATAAAATAAATACAGCATCTCAGTAAGTCTCTAAATTTCCCAGGTTGGGCTCAAACTTGATTTTTTTTTTTTTTCTTTTTTTCTTTTTGTAACCAGGGATTAAATTCAGGCCCTTGTGCTTGCCAGGCATTGGGCTCAAACTTGAGATCTTCCTGCTTCAGACTCCCAGAATGTTGGGATCATTGTACACCTGGCTCATGTTCACACAGATAATCTCATCTACCTTCTTGGAAAAACTACTCCTCCCCATGCTGTCATCTTTTTCAGTAATGATACTTTCTTAGGCTGGGGCATAGCTCAGAGGTGGTGTATGCTTGGCATGCAAAGGCCCTGTTCAATCTCTTGCACAAAATAATGTCAGCTTTGTGTCTCAGTCCCTTTTTTTTTTTTTTTTTTTTT